TGAACAGTAATTCAGACTCTGAAGAGAAGAAGTTTGAGAGCGGACGGCGAGAGAGTTTGAGTTGGAGTTTGAGCCGTGAACGACAAGCAGAGATGAGCGCCCAGTGTTGAAACCGCGTCAAGATAGCTAACCAAGATTCACGCACACTTCTGGACTCTTCTTCAACCAAGAACAAGTAGTTTGAAGAGCGACTTAAAATCAGACCACAGAAATAAGTTTTTTTTCGACTTTCGTCCAAAGACACGCCGAAACACAAATTTCTTAGAGAGCAGACAACTGGAAGCCTTAAAGTTGCCTAGTAAAAGCGTCGTGCCACAATCCACAGAACGGTTCGGGAAGTAGACATAGTCCTATGTACCGAGCAAATAGACATAAAAGTTTGTTACCTTTTTCTTGATACGTTGGACCTTGTGAGTTTTTATTTTATTTCTTTTTTTAATATACATAATTGTGTGTTATCACCCCGTTAGACTCAACTTGCATTACGGCCCCCAAGCCCTGTTTGATCTCGTCTGTCTAAGATCAAGTCACAACGTGGGTAGGCAGACCGGAGATCAGTGCAGTTACCCTGGTAACCAGGCGTTGGAAGCGGGTTGAGAACGACGAGGTTGGTATCAATCTAACCAAAGGGTTAGAACGTCACGTTTGGAGCAGCGAGGAGCGAACAGCTGACGCCGCGACAAAAGACGTCACAACTGGTGCTGTCCGTGACCAGGATATCAGAGCCTGGGGAGCACGTGACGTCACAATTAGCGCCGCGAACGGGATCGAACGACACAGTCGACGCTGCGACCGGGGGACGACGTCACACCTGTGTCGCTAATAAGATGTCTTCCAAAATCTAAGTAGAGTATTATTGAAACACAAAAAATCTCTTGATAAACAAATAAAATAAAGTTCAACTGGTATGCATTATAAGTTTTTCTATATGGCAATAAATAATTGCCTTGGAGATGAAGAAGAAAGGCGAAGAAAGAGAGATGAGAGTCTACAGAAAGATGGTGAAAATAATATGGACTGATCATGAGTAACGAAGAAAGATTAAGGAAAATTAAACAAAAAAAAAAAAAAAAAGGAACCAAAAACAGAAAGTCGAAATTTGTGGGATATATAATGAGAAAAGAAAGTGTGGAAAATTTTATACGCACAGTACATCTTGAAAACAATATGGAGAGAGCAAAGCAGATAGTAACCTTGGTAAGAGGTTTGTGAACATGGATAGAACAATAGAGGTGAGTGCTTATTTGAACATGTAATTTTTCAAGGTAAAAAAAAAATGTGTATAATCACTTTTGTAAGCAATTGGTGTTGCTACTAATACATCTAAGTTTTCTACTCGCGTCGTCATCTACCCAGTAAAAATGTGGCGTATGTCGAAAATCTGATATTCAAACATTAACATTTGTTTAAAAAACATAACATTTGTAGCAAAAAATAAACCGTTATTCTGAAAAAAACGTAAGGCGGGGATTGGCGGAAAGATTAGATCCATTAATTTATATGCAAATCAAAATATTCGTATTTTGAATCTCCACTCAGTTGTTTAAAAATTGTCTCTGTCAAATTTAAGAAAATCTTTTTTTGTTGTTGTTCAAAAATAATTTATGTGAATATTAAGTAATTAGTTATTTTAATATAATAAAATATAATGCAGTTGTGCGCAGCTAATATTTTCAGAATTTTCCTTTCGGAACATCAAACAGGCTAAGACAATGTGTGTGCAATAAACCCAGTATCTCATGTGGATGAAATATATCATTGCCGAAGACTATCACAGTTACCTCCCTTGATAGTCTTCTCGCCTACATGATATTTCACTAATACAAATTATTTTCTTCATCATCATCATCATCATCATCATCTTCTTCTTCTTCTTCTTCTTCTTCTTCTTCTTCTTCTTCTTCTTCTTCTTCTTCTTTCATGACATGCCAGAAGATTGCTTACCGAAATTCCTATCTCTTGTGTTCTTTATCAGTTTTGTGCAAAATATAGAATATCAGTGTCATTTTTATTTTCTACTTAAAAGAGAAAAACTATACGACGAATTGTATATATATATATATATATATATATATATATATATATAAAATGAAAAATAGAAAATATTTATTAATTTAACATGTTTCACTTTTCTTAAAGTTTCATCAGCGAATGAGATAAGCAGAAAAAGAAGAAATACATTTTGAATGGACGCGTTCTCTCTCCTTTTATTCGATACGCAGGTTTAAAAGTCGAATGCACGTGAAACATGATTAACAAATAAACAACACAACAGAAAAGATACTAGAATCTTTTTTCTCCATCCTTGATTCATTGCTCAAGCTTTAATACAAGTGAAACATGTTCGATTGATAAACTTTTCCTATTTGATCTTACCATTTTGTCTACATGAGATTCATATATATATATATATATATATATATATATATATATATATATATATATATATATCATTTCAAGTAAGTTAACCATCTAATATATCATTTCCATCTAAATAGGTCATGGTTCGGTCACTCCTACCCCAATATAAAGCATGCTTAAGAGAAATATGAAATTAACCCCTCCCTATACACTACCTTGTTTGTTAACTACAACTCTCACCCTCCCTGTTAAATTAAAAAAATTAGACTACCCATCAATTTCTAATCCCATTTTTCCTTTCATTTCATTGTTGGAATTGTTACCTGATGATCGGGAGTCCTTCAAAAAGGATTTTGGTGAAATAAATTATTGTAATGGTACCTTAAAGTGGTCTGTTTTTTCATTATATATATATATCACCTCGGCGTGATGTAATGGTTAGCTAAAAGATTGTTACAACTGAATAATGAGTTCAATCCTCACTGGGTGCCCCATACTTTCGGCCACGTGCCACATCTAAGCCTCGCTTAGAAAATCAATATGTATAGTCATCCACAGACAGGTTGCTTCACAGACGTCCGATTGCTTCAAGCCGCGAAACCCGACTGATTCGACTTCAGTCAGATCTCTTACCTCTGGGCAATCGTCGCACGGCAGGGAAGAAAGGGAATTTTAACGTCTTTCTCTATACGAAACACGCCAGCAGCTCATAGAACTCAATTCAATTTTGCTTGAAGAGCAATGCTTCATAGCAGTAGGAACCACTGTTTTTTAAACCACTTTTCCCTAGAAAGCTCAACTGGATTTCCCAGAGAAAATATACATACATACATACATATATATATATATATGTGTGTGTGTAAAATAATTTTAAGCTGTTCATGGATTTATGTAATCAAACATCATATACATTTATACAGCTGAAGAAAATTTTCTCCACCCCCACCCACCAGGACAGGAATCCGACTATTGTTCTCTTTTTCAAAATAGGGGAACATTTTGTCATGATACTCGCTCATGGGCTGATAGTACGCACTTGGCTTTTTTTTTCTTTTTTAAGCGTTACGCTCCGAGCAAGGCGTGAAGCCGCTAGGGTGCAGGGGGTTGCAGAAGATTTGGAGCGAGAGCAGATAGGAGTGATAGAAGAAAGGATGAGGAGAAGGATAGTGCATAGATCAGGGTAACTAGAGATGTCGATTGACATTGGAGATTATAACTCTCAGGGAAACTGGAATAGGGAAGGGTGTTCCACAGGCGAGAGGTGCGAGGTATGAAGCTATTGGAGTAGAAGAGACGGCTACATTTAAAAGTTTCTACAGTGATGGTGTGAGAGCGTGATGCCAGACTCATAGGGCGCTTGAATTCATGAAGTCTGGGAACTAGTGAAACAGCTCATCGGAGCAATTACCATGAAAGTATTTGTAAAAAAGACAGAGAGAGAGAGGCGACGGTGCGTCTGTGAGAGAGTGACTGTAGACGAGATGCCAGATCAGGTCTAATTATATTACATATCCGCCCCTGGATCTTGTCAAGAACTCCGAGGTAAACAGAAGGTGTCCCAGACAATATATGGCAGCAATACTCCATGCAAGGGCGAATGGTTGATTTGTATATTTGAAGTATAGATTCCGGGGAAAAAAATTTTTAGTGTACAGTTTGGAAAGCACACCTCTTTAGGCGTTAACCTCAAACGCTCGCACAGTTTACTTTAGTTTACAAGATTAAAACTAAAATTCAGTCAATTCAGGTTCGGTTACTCACTAAAACATCTCTTATTACTGGAACCTTCTGAATAGTGAATTGAACAGTTACCAAAAAGTTTAATTTACAAAACTTTAGAGTCGAGGTGGAGATGAAACTGAATATAACACCAAACAGCTAATTGACACATTGTATATATTAATATTCATCATATTAAGGCTTTGTTTTTGATATCGGGCACTTAATTGCAACGACTGCTTCCACAGTCTGACAGCCTTTCTGGATTACACTATCTCCCATCTCACTGCACCACCCACACACACACGTCCGTGCGAGTATGTGTGTGTGTGTGTGTGTGTGTGTGTGTGACCATTGCATTTAGCATAAAAATGACTGTCGCCTCAGGGTGTTGACTTCAGTGTCCACTTTCATATTTCCATACGCTCTATCCCTGATATTGAGAACAATAACGTATAAATATAACATACCTTAAAACGATATTTTATGATATATATATATTACGCCCCCTATTGAAATAATTGCTTCAGCCGTTTCCATAGTAATTAATTTTGTGAATGAATATGCTTATAATGCTGCGCAAATTTCAAGATTAGTTATTCCGGAAATTTCGCTTGAAAATGAAACAGGACTTGATACTTTAATTCAATTTAACTTTAATAATTATATTGATGTTTTAGTGATATGTTTTGTGTATATATATATATATGAAACATACAAAATATTAAAACTGATTACAATAAGTTATATATATATATATATATATATATATATATGAAACATATATATATATATATATAAAATAATAATAATACAAATAAATTAAATTCACAAATGCCCCATCTGAATAGCCATTTCGCGCCACCTGAGCTTGTCGGCATTAAAATAAAATAAATATGAAGCCTAACATTTTTTTTAAATTAAATAAAAAAACAGATGGAAATAAGGAAAAAGGTAAGAAAAGGTGGCAAATAAGAGAAAAGGGATCTAAAAATGGAGGGAAAAGAAAGACGGAGACAAAGAAAAGAAGAAAAAAAAAAGAGAGAGATGGGTGGACAAAGAATAATGATTCGTCTAGAGCAGTAGTTCTCAACCGGGGTCTACATGGACCCTAAGGGTCCATGTAATATTTCCGGGGGTCCACAGGCAAAACTCAATTGTTGTGTTAATTAAAAATAGTAATAATAATTATTATTATAATTATAGTAGAATATTTTATTTGTATTAAATTAGTTTTCATTTAAAAATAAAGCTTAATCGTATACTATTTCTTTGATAATTAAAACCTTAAAATTTATATTAGTGAAGAATAGAAAATTGTTCTTATGTCCAATAGCTATGAAGGGGTCCACCAAGATAAAAAGAAGGGGAAAGGTGTCCATGGGTAAAAAAAGGTTGAGAACCACTGGTCTAGAGTCTAGACTCCGGTCGAAAGTTTAAAGATAATTGGAAATTTAATAATAAAAAAAATTAACCTTTTCATTTTTTTTTATTTAGCTAGTTCTATAATATTAACATTTATACGCAATCTTAAATACCTTCTCTTTATTTTAAAGTTTATAATTCTTTATGTAATTTTTCTTATTTGAACAATTGTTAAAATTTGAAATATAGGTCAAGTTTAATTTTTCTGATATATATATATATATATATATATATATATATATTAAAAATGAACATAGAATTCGTAAAAATCCATTTGGTTACAATTTATTTCTTGGACATTTACATCCATGTCTTCGTTGGTCTGAAAAGATGTAAAAGTACATGAAATAAATTATAAGCAAATGGATTTTTTTAAGTATTCTGCATTCCTCATTATATAACTTTGTTCTTACATTGAGCGCTTTTTAGATAAATATCTTCCTTTAAATTATCCCTACGAATTATCAGTATATATATATATATATATATATATATATATATATATATATATATATATATATATATTAAGAAATGGACAAAGTCCGACAATTTATTTATTAAAGACAATTTTATGTTTAACGTTGTTTTTTATAGATACAAGTATTTAGTATCGGCCTGAATGTCCGAGAAATTTTCATAGGACGAATATTTTCTATGAAAATTTCTCGACATTCAGGCGGTAAATGTTATTTAATACTGTTTATCATAAAACAGAGCATTTACTTAAATACTTGTATCTATAAAAAAACAACGTTAAATATAAAATGTCTTTAATAAATATATATATATATATATATATATATATATATATATATATATACTATTTATATTATTCGGTCTATTGTCCTCATTTTGGTGCTATATTTATCACAACGTTGCGGCCGTTGTACGCTCCGGCCTTCTTCATGTGGCTGGAATGTCGAACTGAACCCTTTATTTCGCTCGCTGTTCTAGTTCCACGTGCCATGTCTAATGGATGTCAGTTATAAGTTATCTTCTGTTAATTCACCTCTTCAAGTTCTCCACTGTCTTTACCAAAAATTCATACACAGATGTCCTTAAAGACACATGCCACAGTGAATAAAGGTGTTGAGATCCAGTGACGGGACCGAAAGAGTTGTGAATTTAATACCTGGTTAAGGAATTTTCTCTGTAGAAAACTTTGTATAGGAATATTTGCCATAAGATAATTTCGGTGCATTTATTTTTTAATATTTGAAGTACATTGCTATCAAGTATATGTGGCTCACACTATTGTTACTTCGATTTAAACATTTTAATAAGCGAAGTTATAGAATCAAAATCCTACATCATTCATCCTCATTAGTGCGGAGTGCAAAATTCCAACTTGACTCCAGAAATTAAGTCACGCAATTTCAGATTTCAGATTTAATGTTAAACTTTCTGTTAACATAATATCAGTCTGCCAATAATTCTCATTCAAGCAAAAAAGGCTTAAACACTAATATTCCATGGTAATAATTTATTCCATTGGAATCGTAAATACGATCCAATTCATCAGACCTACAAATTCAAAAAGAAAACAGAAAAAAAACAACTCCGGAAATAAAAACAGAATTTAGGGAGAGTGTAATATGAGGAGGAGGGAGATTAAACCTCAACAGAGAGAATTTTAGGAGAGGTGAGTGGAAAAGGTTTAAATAAGAGAAAAGAATGAATGTTGACGGATGTCTAATGTATAAAGATACATTTCGTGGTGACATACACACACCATAGACAATTTAATGTTAGAATAAGAGCCACTAATATCATCAATATCTATCTATCTATCTATGTATCTTTATATATATATATATATATATATATATATATATATATTATTTCAAACAAACTTAAAACTTGAATAAGTCACGAACTTCAATATAAAATATCTGATCAAAGAAAGATAACTCTTTCAAACTCTCAGTAAGTCTTTTGTAATTTACACAAAATATTTGCCAACATAAACTGTTTTAAATTCACTATAAATACTTAAATATTGAAATATACGAAAAAACAATGGGGCGAAATTGTCTTATGGCAAAAATCTTATACAACGGAGTTTCCTAAGGCAAAAATCCTTGAGTCGAGTTTTCCTAAGGCAAAAATCTTTGAGGCGAGTTTTCCTAAGGCAAAAATATTTGGGGCGAATGATCCGAGTACGTAAGTAAAAAATGTCGATATCTACTCTATCCCATTTCTTTATCTGTCAATCTGGATGAAAATCAATTTTCTTTTCAGCAATATTCTAAGTTATGTACGCCCACTGCATTTTTGATATCTAAGATGTAAAAAAGCATTCTTGAATATTTCATTTTAGCATTAATTGAAAGCTAAATTATTCAATTTACTATTTCCAGTAAGTAAAATATTCTGATGTATTTCAAAAAGAAATTGTAAAAATTAGAATCTCAACATTTTGGCTGATTTCAGAAAATCTTCTTAAAAGCGGCCATTTTTCTTAATTTTAAGAAATTTGTGAACAAAACAAATTTATTGGTTTCAAAAATCTTCCAAAAATAAAATATATATTTGTGACACGTTGAGCAAAATTAACAAATTTGAAGTTAAAGTAATCTGATTTCAAATAAATATTACTTACTTATAGCATAACAAAGTGATATACAAGCATATCTTAACGACGAGTCCTGTTTTTGGTTAGCTATACTGGCCTATCGTTACGTTCCGAGGTAATGACAACTAGTATGGATGACTAGAATTGATATAAATTTTCAAAATCTAAGTGAACGCTTAGTAATGTTTACAAATTAACATATTTTCAACAATTATCTAATATTTTATTGATTGTTAGTTACGTTTGAAGATGCTTTCTGAAAAAATAATATAAATTTCTTAGATTAATTTAAACATTAAATAACTGGGTTAGAATACCATGATAGAGGTAAACCAAAAATTTATGAAATGTTATGGTATTTTATTTATTATTAATATATTTATATATATATATATATATATATTTATTTTAAAGTTGAGACGTAAATATGCAATTAATAACGTATCGCAGACAAGCGAATTTCTCTGAAAATGGAGGACAGCTCTTACATGTTAAGTTTTCATAATATTGCCACGTTTATGCTACCATAGATGAAAAATGGGAATTATTAAAGTAAAAAATAAAAAATAATTTAAAAAATATATTTCTAAAACGATGTATATTAAGCTTTTGAATTTTGGATTCGTAAATTTCGTTTCCATTTAATTACAGTATCACCTAAAAGAAAGAAATACAGAATTTCAAACGATTTTTAGATTATAAATTATCATAATTAAAATTTTATGGAATGAATTCTTTTAGTAACAATTTATTATTGATCAGAAAGATTTTTCTTAAGATAATGGTCTCCTTAAATTATTTACAAGCGCGATTAAAAGCTGTTCTAATGAAATAATGTTATAATTTGATTAATTTTTTTTTTTTTTACCATTCGGAGCAGATTTTCAGTACAACTAGAAAAAGGTTGAAAAATAAAATTGGATGATTTACATTCTCCAAGAAGTCCTACATTGAACTATTAAAAATAATTCTAGAAAGAAAAATTTAATTTCACGAAATTAAGTAAATGTGGGGTGCATATGTAAACAAAAAATATTTTTTACAGAGGATTTTCTAAAACAAACAATTTAAAATTAATTTCATTCATTTGCGAATAAGTCCTGACAGTTTCTGTCAAATTAAAATCCGACAATTATTTGATTTTTGCAAGAATTTTCAAATCAATTTGTTTCTCACGTGAAAAAAAAAACCACAAAAAATGTAATTGTAAAAATTACATCTCGCGATGACGTAAAAAAACCCCCAAAAAACAGGATTTTAACCCAAATTTCGAATGTTAGAAGGGTTAAAATATTAAAAAGATAATTAAAAATTGATTCGATCTTTTCTCTTAATAACAACATAAACTTTTTTTGATAAACCTTTGCTTTTATTAAATTTATGGCCTTTTTTTTCATCATGCTATGCTGTGTTTTCACCGAAAAAGTGAGGGTATCTATTCTAAGCATTTAATTAACAATACATATTAATTTCATGTCCCAGTCTGAATGTTCGAGAAATTACGTAAAATATATGCATCCCTGTACAGAATCGTCCTTAAGCCAGGCGTGCTATGCCCGTTCAGCCATAAATTGCTGTAGATGACGCATATTTTCTACGAAATTTCTCGAATCTTCAAGCTAATAAATGCAATTGATACTGTTTAATTAAAAAAAAAAACAAAGCATTTATTCAAATAGGTGTAATCATAAAAACGTATTAAAAATATATATATATATATATATATATATATATATATATATATATATATATATATATATATATAAAAAAAAAAGTTGCAAATTAAAAAAAAGTCTTATTTTACGAAAGTATTTATTTATTTATATATATATTTGATATTTCAAATTGTCCTCAATCTTTCATCAGAAATAACTGTTTGTTACAAATCATTTGTAAATCATATATATATATATATATATATATATATATATATATTATATTTTGTTTTTCTGTTGTTTTTTTGTTTTTTTTGTTTTATGTTTTTTTTTTTGAATGTGCAACAGAACGGTAATCGATGAAAACATTCTGAAGAATTTGTCCGTTGAATGATTCAAGGGAAGTAACTCATATATAA